CCCCGTGGCTTGCTGCCCCAGGCACGCACTTGCTGCGCTGGTGCCTGGAGCTGCCCCTGCTTGCTACCCCTTAATGCCAGCCCTGGTTTTTATATGCAGAAAAACAATTGTTGTGGCACAGGTGGATCATGGAGTTTTTATAGCATGTTGGGGGGACTCAGAAAGAAAAATTTTGAGAACCCCTGATGTATGTAACATTTAAAAGGATTGGTGAAGAAAATATACACACACTCTGTGCACTATTTGATGTTACATTTACAGTGAAACTAATATAATTGCTCTGGAACAACTTATGGTATTTGCTTACTTTAGATTTCAACAAGCTAGTAATTCATTTTGTCAAGTTCTCTCTCGGGTCTATGCTACAAGTATGCGTCCTTTAACCCCATTGGTACCATATAAAAGTAAAATGTTTTATATTTGTATATGTTTTATTGCACAAGATTTTCAAAAATAAAAAATATCCTCTTGTACTGCAATACATACCAGTTGTAATTTTAATACTGAGTTTGGGCCTAATCGGGCAGTCCTGACTCAGGCAAAACTACTGTTGCAGTCAATGGGAATTCCGCTTGAGTCAGGCCCATAGATTTTGGCTCTTTATGTTATTGATGGAATGATCTGCATTCCCTGAATACCCACAAGTTCTGTTGGTTTCAAATGGGTTCATGTGGAGCTTTAGGTTACAATGAATGCAGGATCAGGTCCACAGTGAGCAATGATACAATCCAATCAGCACTGACTTGCTAGATGCAAACATTCATGTTTTAAAAACTTCCAAAAAACTAATTAAATTTTAAATTGAAAAGTGGAACAATAAAAAGGATACAAAGAAGACAGTTTTACAACAGAAAAATAGAATAGTTAGTATCTGACATTAAGCAGCCAAATCTGTATACTCTCTCCACCTGAAACTCCAGCTGATGTCAATGAGAGTTTTGACTACACATGGCTAGGATTGAGTTCTGAACAGATACACTAAAACATAAGGAAATCAGAAATTCTACATAAAAGTGATTTTTAAAATAATTGTGATTACTAACATTTGTTCTGAAACTGAGGTGTTCTTTATTTCTTTCAAATCGTTGGGGTTCACATTGCCAAACAGTGCAGACACAGTATAGAAGTGGTGGGCATCCTGCGGCCAATGGGCTGCACGGGGCCTATCAGGGTAATCCACTGGTGGGCTGCAAGACAGATTGTTTACACTGACCGTCTGCAGGCACGGCCGCCCGCAGCTTCCATTGGCCGGGAACGGCGAACCGCGGCCACTGGGAGCTGCGGGCGACCATGCCTGCAGACGGTCAATGTAAACAAACTGTCTCGCGGCCCACCAGCAGATTACCCAGACAGGCTGCGTGCGGCTCGCGGGCCACAGGTTGCCCACCACTGCAGTATAGTGTGTGCCAATAATTCCACTTAATAATCTAGAATAGTTTCCTAATAATTGATTCTGCAGACCTCACCTACAGCAAAACTTACCTTGGCTTCAATGGGGAATTGAATATCTTTAGAGCAGAATCTGGCCTATTGATTATTGTGGGAGTTATGTACAAGTAAGGAATGCAGGACCAAGTTCTATTACAAACCCTTAACAAATTGGGGGTCTAATCCTCTAATACTTACTCAAGTAAAACTCCCAATGAAGTCAGTGAACCCACTTTATGCTGCAGTAAGAGATACACATGTCCTTTATGGCTGCCTAAAGCTAGCTGCACCAGTAGACGCGATGCTCAAGAGGGAGAGAAAAGATCCATGGCCATGTGGATGCAGCACTGCTAGAAGAAGGGAGCACAGAACTTGTTTAAATGAGCTTTCTCACTGCCCCAATGCAGAGCCCTAAACATTTCCAGGCCCTTTCTTTCCCTGCTTTATCCAGCTCTAACACTGTATCTATTCCTTGGGTGGGGGAGCAAGAGAGAGAACCAGGACTGGGTCCCCATAACTTTTTTTTAATACACAGGGCGTGTGTGAGAATTGCAAGGGGACTGTGTCCTCCATAATCCCCATCCTCAAGTGCTAAGAGGCATTTGGTCTGATAACGTGTATGCACTGAGCAAAGGGATTGGGTGCAGGCATGTGCAGCTATAGAGCCAAGGCAATTCCTGTGGGCTATGTGCCCAGACAAGCTTTGCTACTCCCGTGGGCTATATGCCACAGATGCTGCTGGAGCAAATTTGAGCTGGCACCAGTAGGCATTTTGCCTTAGTACATGCCTACAGATCAATACCTTGTTCTGGCAGTAATGTAACTTCACTGAAATGTAGTTGAGTATTAGCAGTAACTTAAGTGAAGCTGATGTATTTCTTCATTGGTATGTACAACACAAGTCATCTCAGACTCGATCTGTCTCTTTCAACTACATAAACCAGAATATAAATCAATAATTTTAACATCTTTGCCCTTCTAAGATTAGTGGGAAATGTTAATATTTCCATGCTGATACTTGTTTTGTCTGTGTTTTACACAGCATGTAGGATAGACATAAATAAAATCCCAGACTAATAATATAAACAACTTTGAGACAAAGTAGAATTGTTTAATACAGTTAATTCTTTCCTTTCATGTTTATTTTATAAAATTAAGTGTAAAATGATTAATGGTTTCATGTTCTCCTTGTAGGGATTCCTGAACACATTAAAATCTGTATATACAGCACAACAATGGTGCTTATTTTCAAACTCTCGGACATCAGCCTATAAACATATATCGTCTACTGGAAATGGTGCAATATTTGTCCTTTTTTAAAAAAAATCTTAAACTATTAAAGCTTATGTATCAAAGCAATTTTGCTGCAATGCTACTGAAATGTATAAAAAGCATGTTATTCTGATCATTTGAATGTGCAGGCACCTAAATAGTTAAGTGATAGGTGCCTTGTAAGTGCCCAAGATAGACAGAACATGTAGTTATCTTGTTGAAAAGAAACTGGGTAGAGTAACAATGCATTTCATAGCAAGCTCATTTACATGAATAATGTTCTTAAGCAGCTGATATAGCTGTCCTAAACCAAAACATATTCATAAAACTGCTTAAATGCCACATTTTCCTGTTACTTTTATTCAGTAGAAGTGATGATTTAAAAGCTCCCAAAGACTTATTGCGGACTGTTGCAGTCTATTTGATTACTGTGAAAATTTACATCCAAAATGACAGAAACGAACAATCCTGTTCCTATTTAAGTCAATGGGAGTTTATCATTCATTATTTCTATTACAGTAGCATTCCCCCAAGGCCCCAAACAGGGCCACGTTGTACTAGATCATACAAATCAATAAAGTGGCCTTGCCCCAAAGAATTTACAGTCTAAGGCTCCAATTCTGGATCTGCACTGAGTCTGCCTATGTAGAAGCAATTGTAGGATCAAGGCCTAACTAGATAATTGATTGTAACACAGAATAGGAGGGAAGAAAGGCAGGAAGATCATAAGTGAAAGGTAATAAGATCCTGTGCTTGTATAGGCTGATCCTCTGTACAACTCAGTAGAAGTAGGAGCAGGCTAAGGTTGCCAGGCATCCGTTTTTCGACCAGAACACCCGGTCAAAAAGGGACCCTGGTGGCTCCGGTCAGCACCGCTGACCGGGCCATTAAAAGTCCAGTCAGCGGTGCAGCGGAGGCCTGGGACTAAGGCAGGCTCCCTGCCTGCCCTGGTAACGTAAGGTTCCCGGAAACGGCCGGCCCCTAAGCACATGGGTGGCCAGGGAGGCTCTGTGCACTGCCCCCATCCTGAGTGCCAGCTAAGCAGCTCCCATTGGCCGGGAACCACAACCAATGGGAGCTGTGGGGGTGGCGCCTGCAGGCGCGAGGGCAGTGTGCAGAACCCCCCGGGCCACCCTAGGGGGCGCAGGGACCTGGCGGCCACTTCCTGGGAGCCAGGGTAAGTGCCACCGGGACCCTGCACCTCCTGCCGCACCCCAACCCCTGCCCCAGCTCTGAGCCCCCTCCTGCACCCCAAACCCCTCATCCCCGGCTCCACTCCAGAGCCTGCACCCCCAGCCAGAGCCCTCACCCCCCCGGACCCAAACCCTCTGCCTGGAGCCCTCTCCCGAACCCCTCATTTCTGGCACCACCCAAGGCCCACACCCCTAGCGCAGAGCCCATACCCCCCCACACATACTCCAACCGCCTGTCCCAGCCTGGAGCCCTCTCCTGCACCCCAACCCGCTACCCCAGCCTGGCCAAAGTGAGTGAGAGTGGGGGAGAGCGAGTGACGGAGGGAGGGGGGATGAAGTGAGCGGGCGGTGGGGCCTCCGGGAAGGGAAGGAGCATGGGTGTTCAGTTTTGTGCGATTAGAATGTTGGCAACCCTAGAGCAGGCCCATAAAATTATGACCAAAATATAAACATTGTACTATATATGGAATAAATAAGATAAGAGTTTGGAAAGATTCTTGTTCTTGTTTAGTGCTAATGATTTAAAATTCTGAAGCCACAGATATGTTAACTGAAATATTCACATGCATTGATTTGTGCATGAAAACCGATATATTATCCATTTATCTTTGTTCAATTTAAGATCCCAATCCTACAAACATGTACACATGTTGTTAATTTTACTATCATAAGTAATCCCAAAGGGCTTAATTTAGTACTATAATTAAGCTAAAAAGCTGTCTGCAAGATATGAAAAATATTTTTAAGAAAGTAACTTTTTAACATTGTTCTTGCTTTGTTATTTTATTTCCCATGTTTTTATGATAAAAAGACACTTGCAAGATTAGTAAATCCCAATTTTGACATTTTTATTTTTTGTTTTCTTCTTACAAAAAATTACATGACTTTGCAAAAATATATGATGTTTTTCTTCTTCGAGTGATTGTCTACATGGATTGCACTCTTGTTGCACATGCATCCCATATGTCTTAGATTGAATTCTTTTGGCCAGCAGGATCTGCTGGGGCACATCTGCATGCTAGGTGCTTTTGTCCCCCGAGCCCACCAAAGAGCAGAGCGGGCCCAGCCCTTGCAGTGTCCATCTGCTTCTCTGCAAGTCTGCTGTAAATAATGATTATTTAGTGTAGTTACGTAATATAGTACTTAGTTTGCCCACTGGCATTTTTTATTTTTTTTTAAAGAAGGAAAATTTTTACTGTTTTATTGTATTAGTTTTTCATAACTAATAGTACTTGGAGCCATTCCCACCCCCTTGTACATAGATTCAGGCCATTATGGTGGAAGATAAATACTGTGTCCTTTTATTAAAATTGTGTCCTCCTAAATAATGACAATGCAAATTATTGTTCCAGGCTCCTCTAAATAAGTTTGGGGTTTGATTATGAATAAGCTGGGGCTGATAATGTTAAGACTTAGGCATGTGAGAGTAAGACTCATTAAGGACTACTCATGTGGTTAAAGCTACTTACATGAGTGTTTGAGGGTTATTCTTTATATGCAAAACTTCCGCTGAATTCAATCAGACTCATCGTTCTACTTACAAGATCTGGCCCATTGTCTTTCATTTCCCTTCTCCTTAACATCCAGAAATGAAATGAATGATGAAGGATAAAAATAAAAAGTGATGATCTTGATTCAGAGGCGACATGTAACTCTTGATAATGGGAAGGGGCACAATTTTAAAGTTCTGGGGGGGCACGTGACCACCTCACAGAGGTTTTCAAACTGTGGGGTGCACCCCACTAAAGGGGAAGAGGAACGTTCGGAGGGGGCAAGTGGCGATGCCATGCAGCGGGCCAGCGGAGCTCAGTCGGGCCAGCGGAGCTCAGTCGGGCCAGCTCCGCACGGCAGGGCAGCAGGGTTCGGTTGGACCAGTGCCACGCAGCGGGGATGAGGAGAGAGTGCCATCTCCACCCCCTGACTCATCTCAGCGGGCCACCCAACCTGCCTGGGCTGGGGGGGGGGGGCGACAACCAGAAAATCTCCCATATGTCGCCTCTATCCTGGCTCCTTGTGGATTACATTTTCAATAATTTCCATATCCAAATGAACACTTCATCCTGACAGCATATCATGCATATTAAAATCCTTATGAATTCCTATTAGGTTTAGTGCCTCTACAATCGTAGTTATCCGAAGAAAAGAACACAGACATATTGTAACAGACTGTCAATGTTTGCCTGAAACAACGCACCCTTTTAGGAGATGTTGAGTCTTCTGGGAAATGGTTCAGTGGGTTCTGCTTAGTTGTTATCCAACCTGGATATAGAGAGGTGCAGGGAGTGGATCTTTGGGAAGACTGGATCAAGGTTGTGGGCTGCGCAGTCTTGAGGGAAGATTTCTAGGAGTAGCCAAGCCTAGGGAGAAGGTTTGAGTTGATCTTTACCATCTTATTGCTGCTTTCTTTAATAAAGTCAATTAGAAAAGCAACTGGGTTATACATAGCTTGGATGATATTTATAGAGCAGGTTAGGAAAAGAGCCTGATCTCCATCTATCAAAATTAGGAACCACAAAAGATCATTCATAAATTTTTGTGTATGTGCATAGAATCTTCTGTTGCCCTCTATTGATAAGTTACCCAACTGCATTTTATATTGATTTCCCATCTCTAGCCTTCATTCAAAATATTTTCTTTCCAATATTTTTAATACAGAGGTGCTTATAGTCTTCTCTTTCTCCAAGGTTTGATCTTGTTGATTATTTTAAAATCATCCTGTCCCATAGTGTTATTAGAATAGTTAATGAATAACTTTTTATTTTACATTTCTTGCACGATTTGCACTGTAGCTTATCATCTACACATTGACCCCCAAACTTTCAAGTAAACGTTTAAGATCACAAACTTATTCTTAGTATTCATAAATAATCTAAAATGTTTTTTCTTGGTTTTAAGATCACTTGTATTTTGTGCTTTCATAATCCTTCTCATTTCCATCCCTTTCCTAGTTTTGAAAAATGAATTTCAGCACCATTTGAGTAGTTCTTTTTCATGTTATGGTCTATATCATATTTGTGGAAAAAGAAAATTTAAGTGTCATAGGCCTGAAGCCGGCAAAAGAAAGCTGCTTCATAATTCATTGTCAGGATGACAGGACCAAATCCTGCTTATGCTACACAACTCCTGTGGGAGATGCTCATCCAAAAGTAAATTTGGCTCATAAGCAGCATAAAAGAGTTTTGCATTTTGCTGACAAGTGCTAAACAGTTCACAGAGTTGTAGGGCAAATTAATTACATTCTGGATCAGTAAGTTGGAATACTTGGAAAAAAGCATCTGCAGGACCAATGTGCAAATGGATGGAGAGAGGGGCTATTAAAATGAACTTCATGGGAAGCACCATGAAGGTTTCCATAATATGGCTGAGGTTTTTCTGAACAGTTCATACGAACAACTTCCATTACTGAGATATTCATAACTCTGAGGTTCTACTGTACTACAGAGAAAATAGTGAAACTGACCATGAACCTGCAGAGATTTCTCTCTGTTGCTGTATGGGGCCTATTACACAAAGTGTATTCAAATACACAAAGCAAACAAGCAGAAAAAAGATTTTTTTGTCTCATCTCAGTTACAGTTATCAAAAGTGGTATTTGTAGCAATAGTATGTCAATATTTTTAAAAGTGATTTGTTTTAAAATGTTTCTTTGGTCAGGAAAACAAACTAAATTGGTTAAAATTATCAAACGAGGGAGAAAAAGCAAAATAATTCAACAGAGGATCTGGAAATAATCATAGAATCGTAGGACTGGAACTTCTCAAGGGATAAGGAGGTGCTGCTTCCGTTGTACAAGGCACTGGTGAGACCTCATTTGGAGTACTGTGTGCAGTTCTGG